GTCTTCCTCAACTGGCACGCCGACCTACGAAACACGTCAGTTCAAGAGAAGGACGCATCCAGCAGGCGCTGCGGAGGCGACAGTGGCGAGCTAAGTGACGAGGCCATCGCGCGGCCATTGCGAGCTACATCCACGACCAAAGCTGTATGTTCTACATGACATCAAAAGTATTCGCCCAAAATTCTACCAATCCGGCAAGATAAAATCCATCGAAGTTTGAATAGTACTGCGTACAGTAGTAGTACGTGAATGTGTTCGAAAGTTTGGAAATCCCCCTCACATTCATTGTCATAAGTTTATACAGTCGTGTATTTTTTGGATTTTCAGATTCAGTAGTGTGGAATGGATACAGAATCCAATATGTTTAAGTCTATCGAATTTCAAGTCGCAATCATCCCTGGACAGAAGTAGTAGAAATTAGCAAATTCACCCCGTTCGAACAGCGGGGGAAGTTAGTGTTATTAGCACGGACAATTAAAATGTTTAAATAATAAAACGTATTTGCATTTAAATTTTGTTTAAACGTTTTTATTAGTGCTATTTAAACGTTTTTTTACTTCCTGCTATTTAAACGGGAGTTATTACGGCTTTGCGAGTCACGGAGTCTGGGCGATCCCTACAACGGGCGGTATGATTTCTTCAGTATCCGACTCCGCGCCCCACTGATGCTGTCCTTGCATTATCAGTGTCACTCCGTCGGTCCTTCCTCCACATCATACGGATGCCACATCCTATCGGTCGGAAACCGTGCAGCGCGCGGTAACACTTCACGAACACAGGCCGCATGGTCAACAAAACGCAAGCGTTTCTGAAATGCGTGCATTTAATTCGGGCAATCCGAACGCTGGCGAGCCCGCCGACATCCGTGCGGAAGAGAACGCGATGGAAGCGCACCTCCGCAAATGCATGTTTGCACCGTTGCGCGATACAGCGCCATCATACAGCCAGAGTTGTGCGATGCGATCTGGTAGCAGCGGGTCGCCGCATCTCAGTCCGACACACTCACAGTCATCAATGAAACGTTCTCGCCAACAATCCATGTCGCGGTACATCGTGCCGCCCATCATCGACGACCAGAAAGACCGTTTTCAACGCTTGATCCTGGAGTTCATGGCGGAGAATAGCCTGCCGGCTTCCTTCGTCGAAACCTGGAAGATCAAGCGTCTGGTCGATTTCCGCACGGCGACGCCTGGGCGCATCGTCGATGCAACCGAGGGCCATGTGGTCGGTCATGTGTAAGCGGAGCAGGACGACGACCTCGACGCTCACGAACCGATGGATTCCGACGCGGATGACGTCGAGCCCGAAGAACGCGGAGATCATATTCTCTTCGAGTGTAGCCAGATTCTCAGCAGTGGCAGCGGCGCCAATCAGTCGGATGATGACAGTCTAGTGGAGGAGATCCTCGATCATGGCCAAATTCGCCCTTCGTGGCCGAAGGAGAATGTGCCCAACTGGCCGCAGGAGCCTACGGCTGCGAAGCTCAAGGGCCTCCGAGGCATCAAGGTAGAACTGGTAGGCCTCTTCGAGGGCGTCTGCCTGCCCGACTCATTCTGAGTCAGAATCACTAAACAGCGCTGAGTGCCAAAACATGAGCAGGTGTGAACCGTCGCGATCACCTTATGACTGCAAAATGACACTGGCAAGTAGGCGCCTTGAAAATATCGATCTGGTCAACCTTGACGCCACGAAGGGCCGTCAGTTTCGTGGCTGATGACTCCTGCGTACACCTGGCCTAGAGCACTTGATAACGTCCGGACAATATGTGGTCGGCGGGCCGGGCCTGGCGGCATATTTTGCAACTTTTCGCTTTATAAAACATATGGATTTTATTATTATATGTAAAAATGAATATTATTATAACGTTTAAACACCGATTTAATCGCATTTTAGCGTTTATATTATTGCATTGTCCGTATAAAGCCAAGACTGGGGATATCAGTACTGGCTTCCGGATACGTATTTACGGATGAATTGGTGTTATC